AAAAGAGAAAGAGGGGAAAAAGGGAAAAAGGAAGAAAGGAAGGAGGGAAAGAAGGAAGGAAGGAAGAAAAAAAAAGAAAAAATCAGTCATGGGTTCACTCATATGCATTGCCAAATCTCTTCCCAAAAATAAAAAAGCCACAACCCAAATCCATGTTGAAAGTGAGCTTTTGAAAAATACACTGCCTCCCATAAAGGGGTTGTTTTGACTGGGATGAGGACAATTTCTTTCCAGGAGGCCTGAGGGATACATTAGGCCTCCATGTGATCTGCTGGATGCTTTGCTCCAAAACTAAAATGGCAGCCTTGGTTGCAGGGCTTTTTCCAGGCTGAGAATTTTAAGTCGAAGGGATGTGGAGCCCCAGACCTTGATTCCAAAAGAGGAAGGGCCAGGCGAAAAAGGTAAACCTTTGCACATCAATCAAATACACAGGTAGTCTTTGATTTCATGACTGCAATAGCGTCTATCCATGACCGTCCAAGGTTTGTGACGGTTGTAAAGCAGATTGTCCTATGGCCGACCAGATTTTGCAAACCTGTCTTTTGTGGCAGTTGCAAACGTTGTGATTGTTAAGTGAACCAACTGTTCACCATGGGACAGTTTTGCTGCAAAATGGAAACAAATGCTATTTGGCAAACACTGCAAATGGCCTTAAATACAGGCGGATTGCTCGGTGCCTGAAATGTAGTCACGTGACTGTGTGGGAGGGGTGGTCGTTGAAACTTTTGATACTGGGTGGTAAATCCCCTGGGGATATCTGTCATAATTTTGAACCCTCGTAAATCAAGGACTACCTGTACTTGCTAATGTGAATTCCCTATTTTGTAGTGCGGGGATGGGGAACAGCGATGGCTCTTTTATGACTTGTGGATTTCAACACCCAGGGTTCCTGAGCCAGCATAGTTGGCTCAAGAATTCTAGGAGTTGAAGTCCACAAGTCCTAAAGGGTCCATCGTCCCCCACCGCTGATGTAGTGGATCATTCCCCATCTCTTTTTTCCCCCCCTGTGTCCTCAAGTCAGTGTTGTTCCCTATCTTCTATCTTCATGTCCCCAAATGGCATCTCCTCTTCATAGCTTGATCGCTGATCAAAAAAGGTTGCAAGTGAAGATGCCTTGTGCCACAAATAATAAAAACGAAGGTTCTGCTCTTCAGAAGAATTTGTCATTCCTTCGCTCGCCAAAGCAAACAGCAGCAAGGCAGAAATAACACCCTACACCGCAGCCGCTTCCCAGCAGCTAAGCGGCTGTATTACTATACGCCACTTATATCACCCTAAGCCTTCCTACTTCCCGCTAATTGGTACACAACAGGTTTACATTCTTCTCTTTCCACCCTTTCCTCCTGCTGCTTGCAGAGGTAAAGTCTTTTAATTGTCGGACAAACTGAGCCAGCGAGTTACCAAATGCTAGTTGATTCACTGTAGCCCACCACAGCGTGGCACCCCAATGCTTTCGCATGGGATTTGATTTCTTGACGCACTTCTGCCCACCAGGCGTCTCGTGTTTCCGGGTCATCTGAAAGATACAGAGCACATCTGTTTACTATTCAGCAGGGATGCAAAATGTTTCTGTTGAAGCAAAGACGTTAACTAAATGCTGGTTAACTTGTTCAAGCTAGCATAAGACCTCAGTAACGTTCCTGTTTCTTCTTCTTCTTCTTCCTCCAGCCAATTAAGGCACGTGTGAGCTACTTCGGGGGTTGGAGGGGTGGCGATTTCACGCAATCGAAGCTAGTCCATTTCCCTTCGATTCTCAGGGAATATAAGAACTCTAGGATGCGATTTCTATACTTGGCCCTTTTGCTCAAAATACCATTAGAGGCAATCCTTGACTGACAACCACCATGGAGCCCAAAATCCCCACGGCTAAGCGAGACAGTTGACAAGTGAGTTTTGCACCATTTTACAACCTTTCTTGCCACCGTTGTTAAATGAATCACTGCAGTTGTTAAATTAAGGACACGATGGTTAACTGAATCCGGCTTCCCCATTGACTCTGCTTGTCAGAAGCTTGCAAAAGTGATTGCATGAACCCGGGACACTAAATATTCAGTTGCCCTCTGACTTTTTATCACATGACCATGGGGAAGCTGCAATGGTCGTATGAAAAATGGTCAGAAGTCACTTTTTTCAATGCTGTTGTAACTTTGAACAGTCACTAAATGAATGGTTGTAGTCAAGGATGACCTGCATTAGGCTCAAATTACCAAGCGACACGCCAAAAGTATTTCTGACTATGAAAAAAAAAAAGAGACAGCATCTCCAATTACAAACACATTTGCAGTCAGCACGTGCCCGAAGTAGCGCACGGAGCCATTTTGCCTGGTACGCACGGCGCCGCCCGTTCCTCTTCCAGGTTTGTGGTATGCATGCAGGTGTGACGATCAGCTGATCTTCGTACATGCGGCAGTGCTGAAAACTGGCGCATGCGCGCGGGCCAACTGCTCATTGCGCACGCATGCATGCCAGTAACTGGATGGCTAGGTGGCGGGTGCGCATGCGCGTGCTCTAAACCGGAAGTTTATTTCCCGGCATGCGCATGCGCGTGCATGCCCCCTTTGCAACTCCCCTTCCAGGTTGCACGGGTAATGAGTGCGCGTGCACGCTTTTCAGCACTCTGCCGAAAAGGTTTGCCATCACTGATGTAGATTGCAAGATACATTAACTTAAGAGTTTGGATGATTTGAATAAGTGTTTAACTTTGTCAGGATTAAAAAAGCAGAGTGCAATTTAGAGATTTAAAAAAACACCGAATCACATTGCTCACTTGATGGGAAAAAAGTTTTAAAAACTCTCTGGACAAACTTAACATTCTTGCATGAATAATTAATTGTCCTTGTTTTTGTATTTTTAACTGATTCGACAAATACCAACATCACTATCACCAAAAGAGTTATGAGATATTCTGTTTATACTTTTAACCTCAGACTTGGAAAAATACTGAGTTGTTAGGTTAATGCTGAATAGCTCTATCACTTATTCTTGGAAAATATCTTGTCAATGAAGAAAAATACATTTAATACATGTATTAACATATTATTCAAAATATTTTTAGAAACTAATAATGTTATAACCATGATTCATGGTTCATTGTAAGTTGCCACATTAAAGGCAAACCATATTGAATTAGCTTCATGTTAGAATTTCAAACACGACCTCTTAACATTTTCAAAAATATAAATAGAAGCACTTTTTCAATATTTGCAAAGATGTACCAAGTTTGGAAGGGGATGTTCAGAAGAACCTTTGGTGGTTTAAATATCTTACATATGAACTTGCAGTGATACTGGTGGAAATTGCTTGTAATTTCCAGAGATAATGGAAACTTATATAAGCCAAACTTCTTTTAAAATTGTTAAGAAAACCAGCTTTTAATAGAGGACTTCCTAGACTAGCTTTGCAGCAAAACCTAAATTGCACAATGATGTATGATTTAGATGGAACTTTGGGATTTCTCTTCTCAAAACACATTTCTGAAGAGATCCTCAGATTGCATAAAATTCCTAAATGAAAATTCATTGTTTCATTCACTCCACAATTACATCATAAACCCTTTTTTAAAAAAACTTTCTTGATATTAATCTTTTTTCTTTTAAAAGCATATTTTTGAAATACAAAGTAGTACTTTAGATCTTATAAGAGACTGTTGCTTGAAGGTCAACAGAATAGATAGACTTAAATGTACTTAGTGTTAATTTGAAAGGTTTTAGAGATTTTAGAAAATGACCTGTAGTTTTAATTTATTTCAAATAATTAAAAATTATGTCAAATTTATAAAGGACACATCTGACAGAACAAGATAAAAGCTCTAATGGGTTTTTATAGTTCATTTGCTTAATATTTAAAAGCAAGGTGAGGCAAGTAGTTGTCCTGACTCATAAACATTTTTTTCTCTTCAACAAGTTGTAACTGGTAATTTTAGCTCATAAAATATGATTATGATCAATGTTTATCTAACAAGCTCCCTGTTATCTTTTGCAATATGATTGTTTTTATTGTTTCAGTATTTGTTATGACCATTATCAGAGTGGAGTTTTTAATATTAGTTTCTAAATTAAGTATATACTCAACCATAGAAGATAAATAATTAGTGTAATTGCTGTAATTACATCATGATAAGTAAGTGAAATTTGATCCGTGGCGTTTCTTACATCTTAAACTGAGGGAATATGCTTTTTACTTAGCAATGAATCAGATTTTGGGAGGGAGAGTTATATCTTGGTTTCTTCAACATTATTTCAAAAATTCACATGTGCAGAATTGAAAATTATGGTTTATCAATTTAACAACTCAATCAGCTTAAATTTACATTTACAATAGTTTACTACAACATCCAAAAGCCCGCACTTCAATGTCTCTTTGCTGAACTTATTTGATTTTTATATCTACAAATTATAAAAAATTGGTAGGAATGGCTAGTTATTTAATTTTTGAATGCAAGGCTTATAGGTGTATTATTGCACAGAAACCACTTTGGATGCAGATATAAGCTATCTCATTACCAGCTTATACAAGGAAATAAAAGAAACTATATATGACTTAAATAATACCTTACCACAGCAAACTGAATTAAACATGTTTTCATTAAAAAATAATAATAATGAAAAAATGGTGAAAACCCTGGCAAGATCCTGGCAAACCATGTGAAGCATTTATTATGAGTATATGGGTATACCTCTATCTCTAGATATAGCTATCTTTGTACTCATAACAATTTCTTTTTGCATGCTTTCTCTTGCTTTGTCTATATATGGCACGAATTTAGCTTCTAAAAGTATTCCCTAAACTTTTAAACAGAGATGTGTGAATAAATGTTCAGGAGAGTAGCCTCGAAGACCAGCTATTAAGAGTATAAGCAAAAAGGTAAAACAAGTGTTCAAAAGAATCTTTTAGAGAATTCCCACTCAAAGGATTCTCTTTAATAAGAAGCAGTATTGTAAAATTACTGAACAAGAGATCTCCTACTCCTGTGATTTTTACAGTGGTAATTCCTTATGAATTCCATTCAAATATGAATTTTGCATGTGTTATTTCCCAGAAATATTAGTAGCTAACATTGAATTCTGAAAAGTTACTACAAGACCCAACCACTGCATGTCACAAACCTGAAAATGTAAAGATGGTATGGTACTGGTTTTGGGAAACAGAGTTAGCTTCACTCTGTGCAGAAAATAACATGTAAAGAGGGCAACATCTGAAAATAAAATACCTTGGAGGTTTAAATATGCTTCCTTGGAAATGAACTTTCTTCTGCATGTTGTAAACTGAACTTTAGCTCCACCCTCCCCCTGCTAATTAAGGGAAGGGGGGGAATCATATAAATCATATAAACAGAATGCAATGCATATTTACATACAATAGACACAAACTTACCTTTGCGTGTCAAAAGATAAATAAATGACCGAATAAAAACCAAGACACCACAACATAGCAGCCGTCGTTCATACCAAACACGGGAACGCAACGCAATGTAAAAGCATTCGCTTTGCTTTTCGGACACAGTGAGTGATTCACAAGCAGCTTTTCTTCCCCTTTGGGGTTTTGACACATGAGCCACACAGATTCACAGGGCAACCGCTACTCAGAGCATTTACACACCGAAGTAAAGCTACAGACAGTCCAGAAATTGAGGGGGGGGGG